GCACTTATGAGAGCTGCTCCCACCACGATGTCAAAATCGTGCTTGGCGACTTTAACGCCAGGGTGGGCAAAGAAGTTATCTTTGGCACTACGGTCGGGAAATTCAGCCTCCTCGAGGAAATATCCCCAAATGGGTTGAGGCTGATCGACTTCGCCGGGGCCCGAAATATGGTTATCTGTAGTACTAGATTCCAGCATAAGAAGATACGTCAAGCTACCTGGCTGTCTCCGGATCGAAACACCACCAACCAGATCGATCATGTTGTGATAGAGGGAAAACCGTCTCCAGTGTTTTTATGTGCGTGCGCTCCGAGGTCCTAACATCGACTCGGACCACCATCTTGTTGCAGCCAAGATTCGCACCCGCCTCTGTGCAGCAAACCACGCACGCCATCAAACTCAAGGAAGGTGCGATGTCGAGAAACTGCAATCACAACAGAGAGCCTAACGATTTTCTACTCGGCTTGCACTTCTGCTCTCTGAGAGCACTCGTCAACAACTCCCTATAAAGGAATTGTGGGACGGCATTTCAAACTCCTTACGTACAGCTGCAACCGAAACCATTGGTTTTCAGAAAGTGCAAAAAAACAGCTGGTACGACGAGGAGTGCCATGTCGCAGCGGAGAGAAAACAGGCTGCCTACCTCGCAACGTTACGATCGACCACAACACGTGCGGGGAAGCGAGACTCATTTGCAGACAGAAAAAGAAAGAGGCCGAAATACGTGAGTACGGAGAGCTTGATAAGCTGGCCGACAGGGGTAATGCTCGAAAATTCTACGAAAAAAATGCGGCGGCTTAGAGAAGGTTTCAAGACCAATACTCTTGTAGAATCCCCAAAGGTGATCTAGTCACCGATGCCCAGAGCATACTTAAATTATGGAGGAAACACTTCTCCAGCCTGCTGAGTGGCAGTGAACGCACAACGCCAGGAGAAGGCGAACCCCATTCCGCAATCGATGACGATGGAGCAGACGTTCCCGACCAGGAAGGAGTTCGAATAGCAATTACCCGTCTGAAGAACAACAAAGGGAGGCGATGGATTACCGGCCGAGGTATCCAAACACGGCGGCGAAGAACGGATAAGGCGAATGCATCAGCTTTCTTGCTTTAAGTGCGCTATTCCCTTAAAAAAGGAGACCACACAATCTGCGCCAACTACCGTGGGATTAGCCTCCTCAACATCGCATATAAGGTTCTATCGAGCGCATTGTGTGAAAGATTAAAGTCCACCGACAACAAACTGATTGGACCTTTTCAGTGTGGCTTCAGACCTGGAAAATCAACGACCGACCAGATATTCACCATGCGCCAAATCTTGGAAAAGACCCGTGAAAGGAGAATCGACACTCACCTCCTCTTCGTCGATTTCAAAGCTGCTTTTGACAGCACGAAAAGGAGCTGCCTTTATGCCGCGATGCCTGAATTTGGTATCCCCGCAAAACTTATACGGCTGTGTAAGCTGACGTTGAGCAGCACCAAAARCTCCRTCAGAATCGGGAAGGACCTCTCCGAGCCGTTAGATACCAAACGAGGTTTCAGACAAGGCGATTCCTTATCGTGCGACTTTTTCAACCTGCTTCTGGAGAAAATAGTTCGAGCTGCAGAACTAAATAGAGAAGGTACCATCTTCTGTAAGTGTGTACAGCTGCTGGCATATGCCGATGATATTGAACCGTTAGCTCTGCTTTCTCCAGACTGGACAAGGAAGCAACACAAATGGGTCTGGCAGTGAACGAGGGTAAGACGAAATATCTCCTGTGATCACACAAACAGTCGCCGCACATACGACTTGGCATTCACGTCACTGTTGACAGTTATAGCTTTGAAGTTGTAGATAATTTCGACTATCTTGGAACCACCGTAAACACCACCAACAATGTYAGCCTAGTAATCCAACGCAGGATAACTCTTGCCAACAGGTGCTACTTCGGACTGAGTAGGCAATTAAGAAGCAAAGTCCTCTCTCGACAAACCAAAACAAAACTCTATAAGTCACTCACAATTCCCGTCCTGCAATATGGTGCAGAGGCTGGGACGATGTCAACAACGGATGAGTCGACGTTGCGAGTTTTCGAGAGAAAAGTTCTGCGAAAGATTTATGGTCCTTTGCGCGTTGGCCACGCCGAATATCGCATTCGATGGAACGATGAGCTGTACGAGGTATATGACGACAATGACATAGTTCAGCGAATTAAAAGACAGCGGCTACGCTGGCTAGGTCATGTTGTCCGGATGGACGAAAACACTCTAGCTCTGAAAGTGTTCGACGCTGTACCCGCCGGGGGAAGCAGGAGAAGTGAAAGACCTCCCTCCGTTGGAAGGACCAGGTGGAGAAGGACCTGGCTTCGCTTGGAATATCCAATTGGCGCCAGGTAGCGAAAAGAAGAAACGTCTCGGCTATAATGGTGTGGTGGAACAAGACGAAGATGAAGAAATACTATAGCAAATCCTACCCTGTGAAATCACACTGTGAAAATGGACAAATCAGAAGGTAACTCCATAACTAAGCACTAAGTTAAGATATAAAACTATAATTTGGCGCTGAGGATCGCAACAGTACTGAGCTTTCGTAATTTAGAATGTAAGTACTGTTTCGAGCCTCTGCGCTACTAAAAGTGCAAAAATTAATAGCTAATTATACCAGAGACATTAAATTTTACTTCCTCGAGACCCGACCGATTAATTTCGACTAAATTTAACACGTGGCAATATTTATATTCCTATGTCACAGTGACGGGATGAATCGAACTACAATCGCGCCTACTTCCCATATAACACAATATAAAATTCTACTTGATTCACTATCCAGTACATAAATCAAGAAGTAATTAGTACAACGGAATAAAATTTTACACTAATAATTCCTTTAAAGTGACCAAAAAATTTTAAAATCCAACAAAAACTTTTCTAGTCCGTAGGAATCGAATATGTGGACCACAGTATCTATAGTTAACTTTTGACTGAAAATATCGGTCGATGTGTGAGATATACAATTGAAATTCAGACTTCACTGACAATAGTTATTCTGTGTATCAAAAATTGTTTGAATCGGGTCAATATTTCCCTGAGTCTCTTTATACTTCATATACAGATTGTCGAACTTCCAGGTGACTTTATGCCAATATTTTAGTTATCTCAATGAAAATTACACAAATTTTTTTACTCATATCATATCTCAGTGTATCTTTGTGCTTAAAATAAAATAATTATAAAATCGGTCGAAAACTTGACCCTTTTCTCTGTTTGATTGGTGGACTGGATTCTTAATAAAGCCCAGGGGAAATTTTTTTAGTATGTGGCATGATAATAGTTAATAGATAATATCTGGGGCCGGACCTACCTCAACTCCCATATACTATGTACATATAATGTTTTTGGGTTTTTTAACAAATATTATGCCGAATTTGTCGGTCAGTGTATGAGTTATAAATGTAGAGTATTCATAGGTACCTATAAAATTGCTAGATTCGCTTTGTTTAACTACGCCTCGATATGTAGGTAATCTGTAATATATTTTTCAGTTAATTATTAGTATTCAACGTATAGAAAACCCTTGCAAAAACCCAAGAAATATAACACCCAAAAAAATCTAATTCGACTCTCCCATAGATTTAGGCCGAAACCCCCTAAGATGGCAACACTGCACTTCAATTTGGCATTTACTTTTGCGTGGCCTCACGAACATTAAAAACAGCTAAATTCTACACGCTGTGTGAAGTAAAACTGCAATGTTTGTCTATGCAGTGCTGTGCTATGTATGACTGACTGAGCCTTTAATGAGCATTGCGAGTATGAAAACTAAGCTGGTAGCACGCAAACCAAACGTCAACAGCCGAGCATAGTACAGTACAAACTCAAGGCATGCCAATGATAAAAGGTTAGTCCACTTCTTAACTTGGTGTGTAACGGACGTTTGTGTAGTTACATATATTCTACCTCAGCAATTGAGACATTCGTATTAAGCTGTTGCGATATCAGCCACTTCGATGTGTATTTCCGTGTTCATAAAGAATTCAGTTTGTCAAAAATCTTAACAAAGCTCTAAGTTACACCGGTCATTTGAATTTGTTGAATAACTAAACCAAACTTGAAACCGGTTTAAGAAAATAAATTGCAATAATAAAACGTTAATTAAAAATATGTGTCGTACTGTGTAACTTAATTTAATGGCATATTTATGTATGTATGATCATGCAGATGTCCATGCGTTTAGAGGGCATTTACAATCTATCAGCAACCAGCACAACAGTAAACAAATTAGCCCGTAAGCAAATTATTCTATACAAATATTGTCTATATAAATATATGCATGAATGTGTATATTGTGGGCAAATTTCAATAAGCAAATATGAGTTGCTACATGCATGTACATATGTATGTCTACAAAAGTACATGCTCGTATAAACTAAGCAAACCGGACTGCTTATTTTGTAACTGTACGTCCTGAATTCGCACAAGCGCCATCGAAATGCACGTTAACAAACATCCATAAATTATAAAATTAGCGACAAAGTAACTCATGAAACACCGGAAATGCATTTACGCGTGCGTACCTGTGTATGTCCCGAATGATATTTCTTCAAAATTGAGTGGAAATGTCATGCAATCAACGGACTACATTTTATTTACAACCATTTCAACAGCTGTAAAATACCTCAATAGTTTATTGCTTAATGAAGAGAAAATACCAAAGAAGAAATACTCTCTTTACTGATTATTGTTGCATTAAGTGTGAAATCAAGTGCAGATGCGTATATTTTTATATGAAAGCTATATTCATGTATATACATATACTCACATAAATACGTGCGCAGGTATATACATATGTACATACACAAATATAGAAGGCTTATGAATTTGATATTTGGAATTTGTGTTTTAGCAACGAATTTATTTACATATAACATAATCAACACGCGCAAGCTGTTGCTCGAATACAAAAGTTATTAAACAAAACTCTTTCACGCTTAAAATAGAAAATAGAAAATAGAGTCAAAAGTTTATTGCACAGTGCGCACATTAAAAACAACAACAACAGCTGGGATAAACTATGATATAAAGAGAAGAATTTTAGTTTTACTTTGTGTTACGATTTTACAGAAAATATGTATTGAATGTAAAAAGTAAATAAAATTATAAGGCATAAAACTGCTTAAATGTGTTGGGACCTCGAGTCGAATAGTGGTACGTAACTTTTTTCGGTGTTGTCGTGCCGTGAAACAATCGTATCGTATAACGTACATGTACACCATATATGTATAAATAATGAGCTTGTCGAGCTCCGTCGATTTAGTTTTGTTTGTTCCGTTTTTGAGATATCGATATGAAATTTAGCACTAATCCTTCTAATAAGCTATTCATTTGTTGAAACCGGTTATATCGGGCATCTAAAGGATATAGCTGCCATACAAACTGACCGATCAAAATCAAGTTCTTGCATGAGAATCTCTTTACTTTGATTTTTGCGAAATATCCCTTGCTTTGTTTTTGTTAAAAAAAAATATTAAGAAATTCGAAAATAACTTGCCAGTCTTACCTTGCTATATACAGAAATAGTGTTGAATCTTTCAAAAAGATAGCTGTAGTAAGGCCATCAACTTTGAAAACATGAGTTTTGGAGAAAATGCTTTAAGAGGTTTGGTGCAGTCAGATACGTGAAAAAGTTACAATTTGAAATAATATTATCTTTGTCAGTAAATTATGTTATTTTATAAAAGTGAAAACATAGCATCATTTCGTGAGGTTTCCAATTGACTTGCCAGAAATTAAAAAAAAACATAATAATTTTAAAATATTTAATTTACGTAGAATTTTCAGATATACAAATCTTGAGGACTTCCTTACTTTTGCTAAAATTAACTTCAAAATTTGCACAATATTAACAAGTAAGGTTAAGTTCGGGTGTCACCGAACATTTTATACTCTCGCATGGTAAAGTGATAATCGAGATTTCATTATCCGTCATTTACATATTTTTTTATTTTGCTGTAAATTAATTAGATT